CATCAGTCTTATCTATAGCTCAAGTTCAAGCATCAAGTGGCAGTCTTATCTATAGCTCAAGTTCAGAAAAAAGTGACGGCAGTGAGTTCTCAGTTTCATCAGGATACCTGTTTTTCTCAGTTTTGTGTCTTTCAAAGATCAGGAGTGAGGTAAGATTTGGGGCGGTCAGGAAAGTCATATTTAATGTCTCCTCCTTGGACTACAGAAAACAAACTGTACTATATCATAATTCAATTGTGTTTGTTGTTAGTTTTCTTAAAAAAAAAAAAAACCTAGAGATCATCCAATCTAAATGCTCAATTGAAGTGTCATTTCCTAGAATCCACCTCATCAGAACAGAGTTTTCTCAGTTATTTGGAACTCTCAAGTTAAAATATCATTTTAGGCTGATACTATAACTGCTTCTTTAAAACTCCTTTCCGGTGTCTCTCTTTTGCCCTCTACATCAATTTGGCCCATAATATATTTTTTCCTTTACAGAGTGCTTTACAAAATATTTGAAGTTAGTTATTTGGTGTTGTAAGTTCACATGTGGATTTCCAGTTTGGTAGAAGTAGGTAGAGTGATAATACAATATATTTGTAAGGAGCATTTACCATAAATGCTCCTATTGATTAGCAGGTACTTTAGAATATATTTTATTTTATGATACATACAAATTTGTAAAACAACTAAATCACAAATGCTTCAGAATGTTAGAGATTACATAGAGAGGTTCCCCTCATTGCCAGAATTTCTTTGACATGCAACTAACGGAAGATATTCTAGGATCTGGATTAGATTTCTCTACCTCTATTCCAGGTTTAGAGCAACTCTAATCACCAAGAGATTGTTTTTTAAATTTTGGGCCAGAAGTTAAAAAAAAATCCAACTTCATATCAAAAATTCAACTTCTGCCTTTCTGGGGCAATAAGAGCAGATAAATCTGTCTTCTTGTAGAGGACAGTGTTTTAATCTCTCATGGAAGATATGTTGATGACCAATTTTAGTAAAATTCTGATGCCATAAACAGGAAGAAGCAATGCCTGGCAATTTATATGACTGGGGCAGAATCCTATTTTCTGGAAGTCATATAAACTTCTCTTCGAAGAGTGATAATGAGACCTGGAGAGATTAGACTGCTTGGCTAAGGTTCAATAAAGCTGGTTGCTGGTTCATTTGACCCTGGCACCTCCCTCACCTGATACAGTCCAGTTCTAATCACTGTGACCTTCTGCTGAACATAAACTCAAAATGCATTTGTCCAGTCTACAACCACACACACATACCTCACACCTTCTTACCTATATGAATTGGCAAAATTTCAAGCAAGACAAAATAATATAGCTACATTGTAACATTTCAAGAACAAGAAAATGTTGTATAATTCTAATTTACTTAGGCAATTCAGATTCAATTCAGGTTTTTCTTGGCCTTAATTTTCTTCTATAAACTGTGGGTATCTGCTGGATTCTGAGACTATACTCAGAAGAGTAGGAAAAGGCACTTCAGATGTAGGAGAGGGGAATGTTTCCTTGTGTGCCAAGCAATTTTTCTCACTGGATAAAATAAATTTGGTTTCCCACCAGCTCTAAAAATCAGTGCATGAATCATGTTCCATTCTGATGTACTGCTTCCTTTGATATAGAGGTGAAGAATATTATCACCCTTGTAATCATTTCCCTATCTTGGGTGACCTCTCATGAGATCTTTATTTATGAAAGGAGACTCAAAGGAAGAGTTAGGATATAAAATGCCTGATCTAGAACAAAGCAGTGGTCTACAGCAGACTTTAACATAGAACGCTATACTTCATTCACCTGAAATCAATTCTTATTTGGGTTATAAATTTAATTGTAACTTAAAATTTAATATTGCATTTCCCTGATGGCTAAGGATATTGAGGATTTTATCATATGTTTATTGGCCATTTGTACTTGTTTTGAGAAGTGTCTATTCAGCCAATTTGCCCTTTATTGATTGGCTTACTTCCTCTTATGTGTTAATTTTTGAATTCTGTATATATTCTGGATATTTACCCTTTGTCAGATGAATAGCCAGCAAAGATTTTTCTCTCATCCTATCACTGTCTCTTCACTTTATTGATGGTTTCCTTGACTGTGCAGAAACTTTTTAAGTTGATATGATTCCATTTGCATTAGAAAAATTTGCTAATTATTGCTATTAAAACTATTGGAGTCCTGTATATAAAATTGTTGCCTATACCAATATCTTCAAGTGTTTTCTTGATGCTTTCCTGTAGTAGTTTCAAAGTTTCTGGTCTTACATTAAGGTGTTCGATCCATTTTGAGTTTATTTTCATATACAGGTGAGAGATAGGGGTCTAGTTTCAATCCTCTACAGATGGAAGTTTACCCAGCATTGAAGAGGCTGCCTTTTCTCCAAAGTATGCTTTTGGCTCCTTTGTGGGGAATCAAATGGTTATTTATGTGTGAATTTGCTTCTGTATATTCTATCTATTCTATTAATCTATGTGTTTATTTTTATACCAACACTTTGTTGTTTTTATTACAATTGTTCTATAGTACATTTTAAAATCAGGTATTGTAATGTCTTCAGCATTGTTCTTTTTGCTCAGGTTTGCTTGAGCTATTCAGAAACTTTAGTGCTTCTATATTTTTCAAACATGCAGAAAATGTAAAACATAAGTATAGTAACAGATATTACCTGTAGTTAGTATATTATAATATTTATCATTTTTGTTTATTTGTATCTATCTTAATATATATTCATCAACATCAGACTCATAATTTTCACTGCATTCATTCAAATTAAGTTATAGCACTATCATGGTAATTGTGTACGTGCAAACATATAAAATATTGACACATACAGTCATGAAATCACCACCATAAGGGCTAGAAAACTATGGCCCAGCAAGGTGTATCTGGCCTCATTGCGTTTTTTCTCGTTTCACTGGAACACAGCCATGCCCATTCATTATTTGCAAAGCCTGAATTATTTATTCCCACACCCCTTAAAGAGTAAGCCAGTCTGCCGGTAGTTGTGGATTTTCATAAATTTCCTTAATCGGGTTGATAAATTTCCCTTCTACTCATGTTTCGCTCAAACGTTTTAGTCATGAATGGATGGATGTTAATTTTATAAAATGTTTGTCAAATGTACTTCTGTAGCACTTAATGCCTGAAAATGCACATTTTCCTTCTGTTGAACATCATTGGAGAAGTTTGGGACAAGAGAGTCAGTTGCTGAGCTGACATTGGCTTTTGATTTGACTGCAGTCAGTGTGCCGTAACACTTCTGCCTTCAGTGAGAGGGTTATTCTCATTGTGCCTGCTCCACCCACAACTTTGGACCTTTCTTGGGAACCTGTGCCTCCAAGCTAAGTCTCCACACAGACTCTGGCCCCTCCTCAGTGGTTGCCAGCTCCTGCTTCCTGTCTGGTGTTAGCCTGCTGATGGATGGGGAAGGGTAGACCAAGGCAGTCCTCTCTGCATTGGGGTTGGAGATTGTCAGTGATCCGTACACTGTTTCCACAGCAGTCGGATGTTTGAGAGCATGTACAGGACAGGATTTTCTGTCCCTTTCCCGGTGATAGGAAACCTCGAAAGTTATTGGTGTAAACCTGAGGCCCACCGTAGTTTCTTGTCTCTTGTCTCTGCCATAGTGCTAAACGTTTTGCTCTTCAAGAGAGAAGTGTCTGGTGAGAGCTACATGCCTTTCCACAGAGGCAGCGGCTGTGTTCTTCCAGGCTATAATCTTTCTTTTGAGCAGTGGGTAGGGTCTGCATGGAAGAGCATGCCAGTAGAAGGAAACTCCTTGCATCTCTCTCCCCAGGGTTCTATTCTCTCTTGTGAGCCAGCATGCAGCCTTTAGAAGTTAGTTTAAACAATATGGCTGCATTCTTCTGACTCTCTTGTATGGTGCCTCTCTATCTAGCCCCTCTACTCTCTGAGCTAAAGGATCATAACATGGTTCTTTTTGTAGTAATGTGCTTGTTTTTGTTGTTGTTAAAGTTTATGCCCTATGATTTCTTACCTCTCTTATGAATTTATGAAAGTGATGATTTTTATAGATAATCTGATTGATTGATTTATTGCTTTTAGAGTAAGGGCAATACTCTTTCTAGCTTTCTCATATTTTCAGCTGTTGGTAAATATAATATTAAACCTTTTAGATTCCAGATTATTATCCTTAGAGATATTTCATTGTTTGCTGATAGTAACATATTTAAAATGCCATATTTATCTTTCAATATTTCTTGGTTCTAGATATTTTGATTTTTCTGTCATTATTGGGTTGCAAAGATAGCATTATATATTTTAATAAGGTTATGGAAATAAAATGATAATCTACATTGATATTTTATAAGCATTTCTTAGAAAATAGTGCATTTTAAAATAAAATACATTATATATAAAGTATATTTCTATTAAAATATAACCATAATGAAAGATAGAGATTTATATTTTTTCTAGGTATATCTTTGAAGCTATTGCTAGATTTAAATAATTTTGACAAACTAACATGAACGTTATAATCTTTTATCCAAGACTTAAATCAGATCTTTGAAGGTGCTAAATGCATAAAAATGCACAAAAGGATACCTTGATTAATTGTTTAAACAAGTTGTGTTTGTTAGATATACTTTTTTGTGAATTTTGAAGTCATTTTGACTTAGGAGAAGAATATATCTCAATGTATTTGCTTACAATAAAATGTCATTATATCTTCCATAAGAAAAATATATAGTTACAGAGAAATTACAATTCAATTAAAACTGTACTTTTATGAATTTGTCAAATGGATAAAAGAAAGTGAAGCTGACCTAACAGCATTTTCTAGAATTAGATTAGTGTCTTGGAAGTCTTAAAAGATGTCTGAAACTCAATATTATTACCTATAAAAATAAATGTTATATCAAATGTAACTACCTGGTCTTTTGCAGCTTCACAGTCTATAATTACTAAATTGCATATCTCTTTCTCCAGTGATTTGATTGAAAATCATACTCACAATGAACCTTTTTATAATTGCAGGTTTTATATGGGGAGAAATTAAACAGATGTGGGATGGAGGACTTCAAGATTACATCCATGATTGGTGGAATCTAATGGATTTTGTGATGAACTCCTTATATTTAGCAACAATCTCCTTGAAAATTGTTGCATTTGTAAAGGTAACTGTTATTTACATTGTTGGTAAAGCATAAGTTCTGATAACTAATGATATGCCTTTATTTTGATTGCTTTTGATTCTGTTAAAAATGTGCCAAAGGTTTTTATGTGATATTCATCAGCCCATTATTGTAATAGAGTTCAAATACTTAGATATTACATAATCTTTACTCAAAAAAACACGTTTTAAAAAGCCCTTAGAAATTATCATCCAGTTTTCTTGCATCTAAATAACATAATGCCTCAAAATTACTCCCAGTAGCTACTCTAGTTCCAATTCTTTCCACTTTTAAGGAAATATTACATCAAATACCTATTTAAATTTTTTCAACCAAATCTATTTTTATCAGTTATAACTAATAGATAAAACTTCATAGACATATCAAAATATTACTCTTTCAAAGCATTGAAATTGTTATTTCAGTTTAAACTAATAGGGTTTGATATAATTAGAGCAGAATATAATTTCTTTCGCCTCTTCCCATTCAACATGACAGTGCTTGGAGTCTCACACATTCATTACTCCCCCAGATTTTGTACATCAATCTTATTGCCAACCACATAATTTTCATAAAACATTTTTGTTCTGCAATAACAATTGGAATTATTTTGTACTTGGAGGTACTTTTTTCATACCAAAGCATTATATCTCCCCTTTCCTCCCTTTGAGTTTGCCTCTTTCCTTTTCTCCTCCTTTAAAAAATAATTTATTTCAAAATGATTATGAATTGGTTTTCAAAAAAACAACAAAGAGCATCTAATTGGGTATTACATGAATAATGCATGCAATTTAATGATGGGAACTAGAAAATGCTAACGTGTAAGTGAACACTTATTAATTTAGTCTAGGTCTTAAAATAGTGTCCTGTGTCTTTGTGCCATATTCAGATCTGACAGGATCAAATATGCCCAAAGTAAGAAAATTCATAGTTTTCAGCAGTTGGCAAACTTCAAATGTTACCTCATCAACATACTAAGAAAAGTAAATTTCTATTAATTTTATGGAGAGAAAGCTATTTTAAGAGTGGGGACATATTTTCCTAATTTTACCTGTATGCATTGATGCTAATGACCTTGAGCAGTTTATTAAGACAGCAGAAGAAAATTTCTTATCTATAAAGTCATTTTAAACCTCCTTCTACTAAAAATTCATGTTTATGGGTTTTTATTTTGGTGCCCCAGGTTATCATAATATTCTGGGACTATATGACAATAGCAATTCTTCTCAAACTTCAAGATGCATAAGAATCACCAGGAGGGCTCACGATACACAGATTCCTTTTCTCCCTCCTCATATTTAAAATTAGGAATATTAAGGCAGGAGTCAAATTTGCATTTATAACAGATTTCCAGACAATACTTGCCAATGTAGATAAACTAGGAAAGTGCTTCATTGAACTATTTTTGTTTTATTTTCATTTTAAATTTTAATTTACATATGATAATAGTACATTTTTATAAGGTTCAGCGCAGTATTTCAATACATGCATATAATATGTATTGAGCAAATCAGGATAATTATCATTTCTATCTCCTTGTCATTCATGTTTGGAGACTTCAAGCAGTTCTTTTGCAGTTCTCCACAAAAGATATATTATTGTAAACTGTGGACAACTTACCTTGGTGTCAAACACCAGAACTTATTTCTCCTATTAAGCTGTATTTTGGTATCTGTTATCCCATCTCACATTCCTATATACCCCTATCTCCCAGCCTCTAATAATCCCTATTGTACTCTCTTCTACTTTCACTTTGACCGTTTTTTTAGCTTTCATATAGGAGATAAAACATATGGTACTTGTCTTTCTGTGTCTGCTTTATTTCACTTAGTATAATGTCCTCCAGTTCCATCAAGGTTGCTGCAAATAATAAGATTCCATTAGTTTTTATGGCTGAGTAATATGCTATTGTGCATTTATACTGCATTTTATACATCCATTCATCTGTCAATGGATGCCTCGATTAATTTCATATGTTAGCTATTGTTAATAGTGTTGCAATAAATATGAGAGTGCAGGTATTTCTTTGATATTTTGATTTCATTTCCTTTCAATACATACTCAGAAGTGGCTTGGCTTGATCATAAGATAGATTTATTTTTAGTTTTTTAAGGGACCACCATACTATTCTCCGTAATGGCTACATTGACTTACATTCCCATCAGCAAGTATATAAGAGCTCTCTTTTGTCTGTATCTTCATCACGGATTATGTTTTGCTTTTTTAATAGTAGGTGTTCTGACTAGGGTAAAATAGTATCTCATTTGGTTTTGATTTGCATTTCTGTGATAATTAGTGATGTAGACCATTTTACATGTTTGTTGTTGCATTTCTTCTTTTGATAAATGTCATATGCCCATTTAAAAATTGGATTGCTTTTTAGAGTTTAAGGTAGACACTTTGAAGAGCATTGTGTTGTATGATCTCAAAGAAGTGTAGGGTTGAGTCCTAAAGAAACCCACCCACTTCTTATAGAGAATATTTAAACTACACATATGATATTTACATGGTGTTTGCATACATGTATATATTTTATTATATATGAGAACTCTGGCACATGGTGTGGTATGGATGTGAACAAATACAAATGGATACTCATGCATTTTTTTGCCTCAAGACTTTCAGATATGGGATTTCAATTTACTTAGAATGTTGTAAATTCTGCACAGACAAAATATATTCTACTATAAAAACTACTGCAGGGAAACTTTATATTTGGAATAAACCCACTTACCTCAAGTGGTGAAGGAGGAAGGCTAGCATGGAAAAAATATTTATGGGGTAGGATCCAGCAATTACTGTAAGTGAAGATGACCTAAGGAGAATGAAATCTTTGGGACATATATTGCTTTCTTGCATACTAGTCATTGAAGTTCAGCAATGGTTGCAATATGAATTATGAAGTGTTCTTTGAATGACTTGCACAATGAATGTGTTTGAGTCATGTGAGTATACTTAATGGCATGCACTTCAAAATCACATTTCCTGGGCTCATTCCTTTACCCCATCACTTACTGGTTGGGTGACCTTGGATTTGTTTCTGTATCTCTCTTCATCTCATCTATAAAATAAGGAAAATAATAGTTTCTACCTTATGCTGTCAGTAGGAGATGTAAATGAATTGATAGAAGCACTCAATATCAGTGTCTTTTCTTTTCCTTTTACTCCTGTCTTCTTCCTCATATACTAAGAGTCCATTTGTAATGTTTTAACGATGTCTTTTACTTCGTTTTAGTTTAAAAAGAGTTTGAACTCCTGATTCACACTTGCCTTTATCATGTCTAACCCATGTACCTGAGGCAAATTATTTAATACAGGTCTCAACTTTACTATGTGTAAAGTGTTGATAGTAACCCAAAGAGCACATACAATGGGAGTCTGTGCTGTCATACTGACCCACTGACTCGTCCTTCCTTACCTTAGATTCTGGTGAAATTAAGGCAAGCAACTGCCACACGGCTAAACAGCCGATTTTATCAATAAGCTTTAATTGGTACTCACTGAGAAACCAGCTTTGGATTTGATTTCTGACAATGTAAGAATTCCTGAGATGTAGGATCTGCTCACAGTCAGGTGGGTGAAGGACAAATGCCTATAAAGAGCCTCTTGCAATGTATTGAGGTCTAGAACAGGGGTAATGGTAGCATCAAAGAAGGGATGAAACAGTGTTGGAAGTATAATGGAATGGAAGGGAAATATAGAGAGGATAGAGAAAGTGAACATCTGTCATGCTCATGAACATGCAAGAGCATTTGACAGAGAAAAGGCACAATGTGCAAATTCCAAAATAAATAAAGCAGAATTCCATATGAGACATGATCTTGGAAATGGGGACAGGAAGAGGATGAGAAGTACTATCTACATTCTGATATAGAATTTAAACCTTACTCTACAAATGGTGAAGATCCATTAATGATATTTAAACAGAAAAAAATCATTCAATTAATGATGAATTCCTGAAATATAGCAATGGACCTAGGGAAATTAATAGAAGGTTGAATTTGAGAAAAGTTTAGGAGGTAAGATCATCAAGACAGGTGATTTATTAACGATATAGTATGAGGTTGATGAAATAATTTTAATATCGCTCCCTAGTAAATAATAGACATATCTGTGCTTTGGACAAGATTAGCAAAAGGTTATAACTAGGACTTCTGTTGGCATTTTACTGGTTCAACCTGATATCCAAGCATGCATAAACAGGAAAAAATAATCGAAAAATAGGTCTTTTTGGAATCAGAAAAAAAAAAATAGTGTCATCTTGTTTTTCCATTCTGTAATTGTGATGTTCAGATGGAGAACCCTTTGGAATAGGCCTCACCATAGTGGCCACACATATTTAATTGGTCTACTGTATTAGTCTGTTCATGGTGTCATCATAAATGTCATAGATTGAGTGGTTCAAAAAAACAGAAATTGATTTTCCACAGTTCAGGAGGCTTGAAGCCTGAGAGAGAAGGTACAAGCATGGCTGGTTTCTGGTGAGGGCTCTCTTCCTGGCTTATAAATAGTCAACTTCTCCTTGTGTTCTCACATGACAGGAAGAGAGAAACAGAGAGACAGAGACAGAGAGAGAGAACATGCAAGTTATCTAAAGTCACTTCTTAAGAAGGCACTAGTCCCACCATGAGCATCGCACCTTTATGACTTCATCTGAAACTAATTACATCTAAAAGGTTCCATCTCAAAATATCATCATACTCCAGGGAAGCAACATTTGAATTGGGGAGAAGGGGACAATCAGACTGTGGCATTTAACCTTTTGCAATTCATCCACTTGAAGGGGCGGATTCTAAAATGCACACAAAATATCCTATATTAGTCAGCTTTCCATTACTATAACTAACATCTGAGATAAATTAATAAATAAAGATGAGAAAAGGTTTATTTTTGCTCACAGTTTGAAGGTCTCAGTAAATTATCAATTCTCCTGTTGCCTTGGACTTGTGGTGCATCAGTACATTATTACAGAAACTCAGAGGAGAGAAAAACCACTCCCCTTG